GTTCAACGATGTAGGGTGCCCTTGACAAATTCAACGAGGATCGTGATGAGCTCCGCTACCAATATCAAAGCGACGTAGCTCTCGAGGTCCACGTGCTAACAACAAACGAAGGTGGTGCACGAAGGCAACGCACGGTTTCTCCAAGGTGGCGAGCCACGGGTGGTCTCAAGGGCCCTAAAGGCGTCGAACAAATGAGATGGCCGCGGATGCGGCGAAAACACACATTGCAAATCCTGACATGTAAAATTCATGAATGAGCATTCGCACATTGACACCGACGACTTTTCTCCTGTCCGGTCAAACTTCCAACCTAGCAGGTCGAGCAAAGTTTCATAGGTCAGCTCACTGCTTCTGCTCAAAGCTGGGGTGGACAAATATGAAGTCATCGAAGTAGCGCGAGGTCACCAGGTCTAGCTTCAGGCATATCCACTGCAGCATTCAACCACATCTCAAAAAGCAACAACGCTGCTCTTCGCCCCAAAGGGGAGGCTGTACTGCTGGAAACACTTGGTCGCCTTCTCTTCAGGGCAGTATACCGCTAGCCTTGCCCACTTCAAGGAACTGTCCGAAACTGCCAGCTGTCTGTAGGCGCTTTTCAGATCAAAGCTCCTTCCCACCAAGGTTGAGCACTTGGACTTGGATCTGAGGGCCTTCATAAACTCACACATCATAGCTGCTATCGTGTCAACGCCATCCACTGTGCACTTGTTGGCGATGCTGACAGCACTGTTGATCTGGGACTCACCTTCTCGGATTGCACGACTGCGAATCTTCTCGAGACCCTACCACCATCCGTGGGCACGCAGTCCAGGCTTTGCAGCCATCCCTTGTCCTCCTCCTCCAGCGTCTTTTGCCACAGCTCCGCATCGACCAAAGGTGAGCCACTTGACTTGCAGGAGTTCATAATGGCCTTGTTGCTTTTGTTGGCTTGTTCTTCCACGTCTTGCACAGTCAAGGTAGCTGGTTGGAAGTCTGCAGGGAGAACGCCTTCTGCTCCAGATGCGCCAACCAAATCAAAGCCATTGAGAATGTCATCAGCGATAGTCAGATCAGGGTACTGCAGTTCGGCCAGCATCTCTTTGAGCAAAAGGGTTCTTTTCCCCCTCAAGATGAGCCTCCTGCGCTTGGGCAAACTGCTCTTCTTCTTCCTTGGTCAGTTGGGCCGCTCTCGTAGTCCACTTCTTGAGGAACGAGGCTCTGTTCTGCGCAATCGCTGCGGGATCTCTGGTCGAGTTGTTGTGTATGGCATCCAAAACCATGGGCGCTAACCCTTCGAAGAGACTTGCTGGATGCCCCCTGTTCGTTGCTTCTTGGATGAAGGTCTCTGCAGTCCAAGGGGCCCCAAAGGCGATTTCCCATGATTGCTTCTCCTCCCCCTTCTCGGCAATCATTTTCTTGGTTACCTTGTGGGCTGCTGCAGGGACATGGGTATCTGCATGCTGCCACGTGGTTTTCAACTTGTCGCCAACTACAAATGGAGGCTTCTTTGTCGAAAGACAGGTCTGCACATGGCTCCATTCTGGCATAAATGCCAGGGATTTCTTGGTTTGTTTGTTGGCGGTGGCTCTGGCCTTCGTGTCAGGATTGGAAGGCAGCACTGAGGTTGGTCCCAAGAAGTTCTTTAGGAAAGCTGAGTGGATCACATTGGCCCACTGTTTGCAGAGATCAAGGGGTGCTCAACTTCTTCTGCGGTAGCGAAGCCATGAGGAGTTCTGCCCCAGGGCAGGTGTGCATGCTGATTGTCGCACTCGCATGCTAACTCTTGCAAATCACTGATGTCAGTTGCAAGTGTGGTGCTCTTGGGTCGCTTACCTCCGAACATGCAGCTGTGGAATGTGACGTACCATGGTCTGCAAACGTCCAAACCTGACTTCCAGAAGGTCGTCTGCCAGAAGAGACTTCGCGATGGCTGCTCAACGGACCAATGAACGCCAAGTTCCATGCACAACAAGATCAACTTACAAGCGGGTCGTAGACGAGGTTGGCCAGGTTGACCCTTTCTTGATCTTTTGGGCGGAGGTCAGGCAGCCCGTCGGGGTACTCATCTGATCGTAAAGGACACGGGCCTCCTGGAAGGGGAATCTCCCGTGCTCTTGAACTGGTTCCGCAAGGAAGCCCAAAGTGGCAGTACTTGCAAAGGCCTGTGGATATCGTGCTAGGTTGTGCCCATCGTCTGTTCCAATGTCAACTTGGACTACCGGAGCTTTGCAAGTCGGTTTGACCATCCTGTCGACACCAAACGATGCCCTCATCCCCAGTTTGCGCAACTGTGCAGTTACGCCTGCTGTCCCTGAGCAAAACTCTGTGCAAAATGGAGCTGCTGTGTCCCTGGCATGTTGGTGTTGGTTGTAGGGGGCGTGACCTCGCTCAATGGCACATGGAGTGCAGGACGTCTGCTTGCGTTTGCCGCCATGAGCTTCGTCGCTATGGCTTGGGAGACAAAGAACGGGCGATGCTTGGGCACCATGCGATCAAAGAGAATTCGATGGCGTGCTACTCCAGAGATCTTTTGGCAGGACCGATGAGGCAGCTATGCGTCATGCTGCTGAGCTCGAGAACTTCATGCCCGACGGAACTCGCTCCGGATGGATTGCAGGCCGCCAGGAGCCTTTGACCTTCGACGATGAGTTCACTGCAGAAGGTGAGGCGGCAGAGAGCCCATTGCCAAGCCCAAGCATTGGCCCTGTAGATCAAATCAGCATACCAGATGAAGATCCATCGAAACAAGAAGGCTTCGACCCGTCAAACCCCTTCAACGAATTTCAATGGGTCGAGAAGGAAGATGCTGAACCTCGAAACGACGTTCAAAGCGATGGCGAAGTCATTGGCAGTGCATCCTCCTCCTCGAAAGATGGCGGCAGCTGTACCGACGAGAACGAAGAGGTGGTCCGCGGGAAGCTGAAAAGCTTCGCAGAGGCGGCCGTAGAGCCAGCAGTCGAAGGACCATTGATGCAGAACAAGAGAAGCAGGATGCTGCACAAAGAAGAGCTTCGATATTTCGAACCACAGGCAGCCAGTTACAGAATGTGGGCTGTCCGGCGATGGATTCATCGTCCTTGATGAAGGAGCCGCATTTGAGTGGCCCAAGTGCAGCAGGTGCTTCCGCGGCGCATGCAAGCTGACGGGGCTGGCCGCTGAGTATGTGGCGGAGAAACGCCGCCGACAAGAATGAACGACCGCGCCTGGGTAAAACAGAGCAGAGTGAGTTCTCAAACGTGCAAGACACATGAGGTAACAAGTTCATTTTGTTTGGATGGCCTTTTCAGTCACTTTTGTATTAAGAGCGTCTTCCTTGACATGAGGGTCATGCGCTTTGTGCATTCTCACACGTCACACGAGGTTAGATTCAATGGTAATCTAAACACGAGGTAGTTCGTTGGACATGAGGTTCAATCTCGATTGCGCTTCGTTCAATTGGCTTGAGGAAGAACGACGTAAGGTGGATAACTCGACTTTCGAGAGCTGAGGCTCAAGAAAGAGAGATGGAAATTCATTTGACATGAGGTCGCACATTCACGTTTGACATGAACTAGGGCGTCTCTTTTTGCTTCAACCAACCCGACCGGCCATGGTGTCTATCAACCTGACGGAGAGTGTCCCTGCCTTTGAACGGCAAGCAGGACAGTTGGGATTGGCCGATGACATTCTACGTGGACTGGCGACTCGTGGAGTGACCAACTTAGGACGCTTGGCTTTCGCATGTGGACAACCAGGGACTCCAGCAACAGAGGACAATATTCGACAGCTGATCCTCGATGCAGGCCGAGCAGTGACAGTCGGACACATTGCCGTCCTGAGGAGGCTAATCTTTGACGCTCAAACCTCCGTGATCGCTCAGACATGAGCGCAAGCTGACCCAGCAGCCGGCCCCAACAACACCAAGCTGCCGGCAGCAGAAAGGATGTCGAGGATTGCCATAGCTGGACCTACATTGGAGGGTCCACTTGAGGTGGCGTACCAGGTCTACGACGTCATCAGCGGCATGGTGCAAGCAGACAGCTTGCGATACCTAGCGCCGAACAAGTGCATCGCCAGGATGCAAGAGATTACCAGCTAAAGCTCGATTCAACCGGCCAGGGCATACTCATCAAAGATGTCCAAGGAGATCAACTATGTCCCGTGGCAACTGAGCTGGATGTCTTAGAAGCAATGACACGCAGGAGTTTGGCCTTTGATCTGGTTGAGCTGATTGACTTTGAGACCTTTCAAAAATGGAACCAGCATCTGTTCCAGATCTTGCGGCAAGCCGCGCCACCGGGTTTCAAGCAGCCGAGCGTGACTCAACTGCTAAGGGCAGACCGACAGGCATTCGTCCGGATGCAGGAGCTTTCCCGGGACGGCGTCAAACCACGGGCAGATGACACCCGACCGTTGGATGCTATGATCCAGGGCCTGCCTCAAGATCACGCGGTGATGTACTACATGCTGCCAACCCAGCCTCAAGCAAAGGCCAAACCAGACACGCCACAACCGAAATCCCAAGAATGGAGCAGCAATTGGCAGAACCAGTCCAAAACCAACTACAAGGCTTCAGACAAAGTGTGGAAGAAGGGCAAGACCAAGAGAGGCCACATGTACCCTTCTGGACGGAAGTTGCCAATTGCGCTGAAGGGATGCGCATCGTGTTTGCCAAACGGCTCTCGCCTATGCTTCGCCTACAACATCGATGGGTGCAACAAAGCTCAAGCCGGCGAGACCTGTGAGCGAGGCTACCACCTATGCGCGACCAAGGGCTGTGGGGAGAAGCACCCCCACCATTCATGCCCAAAGAAATGACAAGAGGGAGGGGGCTGCACCCCCCCCAAGGCCCCTGATGCGGCCAGAATTCAGTGCAAGCCTTCCGTCATCGCACACCAAACAAGCGTCGTGCTCTTCAAGCTGTGTGAAGTCGTCTCATCGTCGGTCCCCATGATCTCTATAAATCGTTCAACATGTCCGACGCTTAGGCTTCCGAAGTAGACAAAGGCCTCTTTGTAAAAGTTCCGTCTGCGTTTGATGCTCTAAAATTCAAGCACCTCTCGCCAGTCCAAGCCCCAATGCCTTTCAGTGATCCCCTGGATGGGCGCGACGAAAGGGAGATACATTGCGATGCGATTCTCGACTGAGTTGGAGGTCTTGTGGATGCGAGTTCGGCCTTCCACAAATCCAAACGGCCCAGTGTTGGTCTCCATGACGTCATAGAAGAAGCTTTGCGTGGAAGAGAGATCCGACCGGCGCGCCCTGGAGTAGAGCGCAAAGAGCATGCATCCTGCAAAGTACCTGTCAAAGATGTTGGGGGTATCGTACACCAAGCGCTCCAGCTTTGCGACTTCTTTGACCGTCAGCGGTTTTGCCTGATGAGTTGGGTCTCGCGTTGAGAGCACACGAGTAACACGGCCTTGCAAAAGCGGTCCCAAAACTTGCTCGACATTGAACTTGGCCCCCATCAGGTACCTGAAGAACTTGAGTGCGTGAACGAGGTTCTTACCGATGAACTTGCTTCTGCCTTCAAGCTCGCACTCTCCAAGAAAAGCCAACAAGACTCTGTCATCCAAAGGCCACCAGATGCGTTTGGTCTTCTGGCACCAGCTGATGAACATCTGCAAGTCTTTTGCCCTCTTCAAGACCGTGCTCGGCGACCTCACTCCACATGCATCTCTAATGTAAACCAAAGCCCCTTCCCGGTCCCCAGCCTGAAATTTCTCCAGAACATAGTCTCCAATTCGCGCAGCGAATGCGCAACTTTCCAGGATGGTCAGCCAGCTAGCAAGCGCTTCCGTCCACTTGAGATCTTGCTCTTCAAGGTAGTCACGCTTGCACAATGCTTTCACATGCTTTGCAAACATGGGCGCTCCCCGTTCGAAAGCTGTGACCACGTAACCGCTATCGTCGGCCAAGACATCATTTTCTGGAAGGAGAACTGGGAATGCAGGCTGTGGTGAGGAATCCAAGCTCGGTAGTCCCGTAGGATCATTCGCACCAAAAATCTGTCCAAAAATGCCTTCCTCCCAAGGCAACTTGGGAATACCAGCGCCAACGCTCATCATACTATCTTCTGCAAAGATCCTGTTGAAATCATTCGTAGCCATGGCGCCGAATCTATCATCCGCCGTCTGGCGCAGGGGGTCATCTACATCCACGTCAACCGATCCACGAGCATCGCTCAATCCATCCATCCCATTCATGGCCCCCCCCTGGCCCAATGTTGCCAGACAAAGAAAAGCCGAAACCCACCCTCCACTACCCTGGAACCAAACTTAACGAAACGTGAGAGGTATGCTTGAATGAATGCAAGCTTGTTTTCCCATCACTGCAAAACAAGGAAGCTCCAAATAGTTTGTTGACTTTGCCAACTGCCCATAATATAGCCGCTGTTTTTGCGCTTCACTTCTGATGACTCTGGCATGCACGCCACCACGAGGTGTAGGCTCACCCCGAATGGAAGGCGCATAAAAGTACAAAAGCCCATCAGCCACAATAGCCTTCCATAACCAAGCTGCTTCATCGATTTCATCATGTCAGACAGCGTGACACTCTTGCTGGACACTCTTGCTCGACACTGTTCTATGACACTTCTGCGCGACACTTGGCACTCTTCTAAGGTTTTTGGCTCACACGCACTTGGTTCTGGTTTGCCAGGTCAGGTCCCGATCCGGTCGAACAGCTTGAATTTTTGGATGCCGTGATGTAGGATAAAATTTGCTATATAGTTTGCTAGTTACTATCGGATAGAAGCCGGGCGGCGGCTGGATCTAGGCCATGCCCAGGCATTGCTGCCCAACACACAACACCGTCCGCAAGGTCAGTCGGTGTGATAAAAATGTTTGAGGCAGCATGCATCCGCTCCATCTATGACACTCCTGTTTTTCTGCATCTACATTCGGACCTGTACGCCGTGAAACGGAGCGTCTATCACGGACGCCAAGGCCCCAGCCCCGCCACGCAGCAAATGTTCGCCCCACCATTTTGGTGGGAGGCGCCTTCGCGGTGGCCGCTGCACGAACCCGGTCCGCAAGGTGAGTCAGCCCACCAATAGAATCTAAGGGAACGATTGCTCGGGGTCAGAATGTGGAGCTTTGAAAGAAAGCAAGCAAGCGAGCAAGCAAGCACCGGGATCGAGAAATCGACATTCCGTCAGCGGTCAGCCCGCAATCTCAATGAAGCTCGCACAAGCCTTAAAGTTCAAAGGATAAGGGTGGGTCTATCTATCACATGCTGTTTTTTCTTGCACAGGTCTTAAGCTGACAACCTCCTGTTGGATCAAGTCTGCTATAGTCATAGTTGGTTCCAGGTCTTGCGCAGCGATTTCAGCCAACTGCTGCCAAGCAGCAGCGCGTACCTTGAACGCCTCGGGCAGATGTCTTCAAAATAGGTCATGTTTCCCCAGCAACGCGAAAGGGTGATGTAATGACAATGACTTCCGACGTGACACTCCTACCGCTGTGCGTTGCGTTTGTCCAAAAAATGTCACTCCCAGTGGTCGCCCTCTTTTCAGCGTGTGGCCCCACCAAATGAACCTCCCACGGTGTCACCGGCTCCTTGGCAGCTACGCCGTGCACCAGGTTCTCAAAGGTCCCCTAAGCTGTGCGTCGGCCCCACTTTCTGCCAACAACAGGCGGTGACGTTTGGCGACGTTGGGTGACAATGAGTGACGGTAGAAGTTGCAACGTTCCCGAACATTTGTCCCACAACATGAGCGACTTTAGACTCCCACAATGTAATTCAACTGTATTCATGAAGGGCGAAACTATGTTACAGTCATTGGGGTAGAGGAACGGCTCGCATGCGCAACACACCCTCCACCAACCCGCAACCTCCCCCAAACAAAGCTGGCATGTTCACACCTTCGATGACACAATCCAAAGAGCAGCAATGGCTAATCTGAAACAAAAGTCCATCCGGATGTTCGTCGTCAACATCTTGCTTCACCCCTTTGGTACGAAAGGGCGGCAGCAAATCTGTTGAACTGCTGCCAACTCTACCTACTGCTTGGCCTGGCGAAGGAAGAGTTCCAGGTAAAAAGGTATTACAATAGGTTTTACTGCAGGGGTGGGGAGCGTAGAAAGATTTGAGAAACGAGAAGGCCAGTGTTGGTCCGCATACGCAACCCATCAGGTTATTGATGGGCAAGCTGCTTCGACACGTAAGAAACACCAAGGGAAACTCAAAACCGACTCTGAATGTTCAGACTTCAAAGCCGTTGACCCAAAACCCCTGCCAGGCAGCCTCGTCCAAAAAGCGCCACTTCATTCATACCAAGTCACACTTGATCCGTGTGACCCAGCGCTGCCCGCCTGCCACGCACGCGGCAGTAGGCCCAGGAGAGTTTGTGTTCCACGGTCGCTGGCGAACGGATCGCGCAGTCAGCGCTCCAGTTTGGAACGCAACCGTTCACAAATTCTCGGCCATCATCAACGTTGGTCCGGAAGCTAACATGCGCAAGCCACAAAGCATTTGTGGATGCAAGCACTAAGCGCCGAAACCTCCACCGATATGACCGAGACCCTTTCAACATACCCGGCCTCCCTGTCTAAGCCCCTCTCTTGCTCCCTCCATGCACCACCCAGCGGGAACCAGATCTTGCGACTATAAGAGCTCTCGCGCAACGAGTCACCAGGCTGGGTGGACTTGGTGTAGAACGCGTTAATTTTTGTGGGGCGACTGAAGGACCGGCAGCATAGGCGCCTCAGCACGTGCGAAGCACTTTCACATCTTCCTGTAACACATCGTTCCTCCAATCCAGGGTTGCGGTTCAAAACTTTAAGCAACAGCCCCACAAAGAGGACGACAAATGAGCCGTTGTATTTTTTTGCGTGGTCTGGGGGGCGGCCACTACGCAGCCACTAGGCGCCAATACCTCCGCAAAGTTTTCACCAATCTCTCTCCCCAAACTAAATTTGCCTACGCGAGGGCGCTGCACGATGTTGTATGTAAGGGGTGCTTTGGCGAAGTGTTAGCTTCATTCTACAAACCACATGCACCTTCGCAAAAACCCTTCGCAACGAAACACGGTAGATTCTGTATTTTCAGGCTCAGCCACTGAAATCTAGTCAACAAAACCGTAACCTATGCAACTGCAAGAGCACCTTTTTCTCCTTGAACTGCAAAGTTTGCAGTAGGAATCGGCACCATGCTTAAAATATAGGCATTGGGTAAATGTATTTCAACACCCCCTCTGCTTTCACAAGCGAAGCGTGAATCAGCAGTTGAACATGGGAATTGCTCTTTGGGCATAGCTTTGCAGCCAGCAACTCACGCCTCATAATACTAATAATAAAGAGTTGGAACTGGAACCTTAAACAAAATGTGTGAACTATGCAAGCCACACCAGCGCTGCTTGGCATGAATTAAATTCAGCCATCGTACTTCCAACGTTGGCCCCCGGTCACCGTTGTACGCCACATAGCGTCCCCAGCGCTGCCTATTCTGAAGCACATAGTTCTGGGCAGCGGACCAAGCCGCGCGGAGAGCGCCCTCGTCCCTCACACCGGCCTTTGCCTTTGCTTGTGGCGGCGCCTTTGTTGGTGGTGTTGATGTGCTTGATGGAGCGGCTGGCAAGTCTTGGCAGCGGGCATCTGACGGACGTCGAAGCTACCAATGGCGTTGATGTTGCGCCGGGCGGTGACTCATTTGCATGCTTCATGCCTACGCCGAAATTCACCTGAGGGTGCGTCCGTGGCGGTGTCGGCTAGCGCCCATGCGCCCATGCGCTGCGATATCTCGCCTCTGCACATCGGAGCGGGTAATGTTGTGCTCCGTCGCGCGCTCGATAAAGTCGATGTCGTGCTCATACCGGTCGATCATTCAAGTGTACCCCAAACTGCGCGCCACAGCCAGGGCACATCATCAGTTCCGCTGTGGGGACGTTCTCCCGCGGGTGGTCTTGCGATGCCGCCAGTGCCACTTCCTGAACCTAGTCCTCTTCATCCGGCTCAGGTCTGGAAGGCTCTCTCTTTGTTTGGTTCCTTTGGTACGACTTCCCCCTGTCGAATCTGTTGCCGGGCTAGGTACACACGCGCCCTATCTTGCTGAAAGCCTTCAACCGCTGCATGGTAGGTGCGACGGTACGCAACCTGGCATCTCAGTGAGAGGACCAACTGATGGCACGTCTGTTCCTTTGTAACTTGACAGGTCCGGCCCGCCGTCTTCAGGTCTGACTTCAGGTCTGACGTCTTCAGGTCTGACGTAAATCACATCGACGTGGAAGAACAGATCGCCTTCTCCTTAAATGAACCTGCTGGAATATCCTTGGGAAGCTTGCACCTTAAATGGCCAAAAGGGCTGATTGATCACGGTGCTGTTTAGGGTTAAGACATAGAATGTCAGCCAAAAAAATATTTTAGTAAATATATTTATTTGTGATTTTTTATGTTTTTTTAGTGGTTTATTTATGAATTGGACAAACTGCATTGTTTGGTTTATGATTTTGTATGCTTTTTTATGATTTTTTATGATTTTTTATGCTTATTTTATGGTGCAATTTATGATTTTTTTGATTTCAATTTGCTTTTCTGATTGCGTTTGATTGTGTTTCTGCTTTTGAAGTCTTTTGAGCCCATTCAGAATATTGCTACAGAAGTGTTTAATTTGACGTGTTCTTTTTCTATCTATATTTACTAAAAATCATTGCTACTATACCCGAAGAATGTCCTCTCCGACTCTCTGTGCGGTGAGCAAGCCAGTAAAGTTATGTAATGCACACACACACACACGCGCATTTCGAAACACTCCGGATCAATCCCTGAAAGCTTGAAATTCCACAGCCACAAGTATTTTTGAAATGCGCGAATGAAGGTTCTACGTGCCAAATCATTCTTCAAGCCCACATGCACTGCACTGCCAGAAGAAAGCAGAACAGTTGACGCACAGGTGTTCTCGCTACAAAAGACCTAATCACTTTCACCTGTTAACCTATTACTTAACTGTCTCTATTTTGGCTGACCGTATCCACAGTAAATCAGCCCGCCGCAAGCCAAGACTGCCCAAAGACTGCCTTCAGAGGTCGTTCACGTCGCCGATTCGTGGGGCGTCGAACATTTTGGTGGCGCAGCGCCCAGCGCACAGCCCAATAAAATACATTGCGCAACGTTAAAAGGTTTGGCGCGCGGAAAGGACCCCTACTTGCCACTATGACATCTGGGTTTGCGGGGCAAGGGTTTAGACTGGGCGGCTAGCTGTTGGCCCTGTGTACCAA